GTCGGCGGGGCTGAACTCGCTGTGGTAGCTGACGAACTCGTTGCACCGCATCAACACGAGCGACTCGAGGAGCGGGAGGCTGGAAGGGAGAGGACGCGGCGCGGAGACGAATGCGGGGATTTCCATGCTTAGGCAGTCGAGCGCAGTCTGCATCGGCGCCCATCTGTCTGTCAGGACCGCGAGCGACCTGAAGCGGCGGACGTGCGGAATGAGGATATTCAGCACATGGTGCATGTGCTCGACCCTGAACGGGTGCGTGTAGTCGTATAGCTCGTCGATGTAGGGGCTGATGACAGCGCCGACGGAGCTTTGAGCCAGAGTTAGTCACAGAACTCGACAGGCAGAGCCAGGCATAACTCACTCGGTTTCGGAGAAGTCCCAGTCCGGATCCCGCCCGTCAATGTATATGTCTAATGGGCACTTGCCCGACCTCGAGACGTAACGCGAGACGACAGAGAACGGAGCCCCTCCGCGCATGACGTCTCCTATTGTGACGCAGATCCTCGTCCAAAGCTGGGGCGTCCCAATCGCGACTTCGCGCCAGTGCCTGTTCACCGCCGCCAGGACGTCTGGGGACGTACCGGAAGATTGGAGGCAGGGTGAGATGTTATCGTTGTGCTCCTGGTCCGGATCACACTCGTCCTCTGATAGCCTGTCAGAATCGGGAGTGTGCGCGCCGAGAAGGAAGATGTAGGACAGAAGCTCGACCGGGAGGCGTGCGATGGGTGCGAGACGCGTCTTGCGAGCCATCGCTACTCGTTGTGAAGAGCACGGCGAGTGTGTTTGAGGGTCCAGGCGGAGCGTGAGCTGCTTATATTGTGCATATCCGTGTGGCAGACTCGGGGTGGCAGGGAGACGTTGCGAGGCAACAGCAGTCGCGGTAGTGGTGACCGACAGACACATATCGAACAGCGCCGTCTTGGATCGTGTTACCAGGACTCCTGTAGATGTCAAAGCCGGGGTGAGCGCGAACGTTGTAGGTGATGGACGTTGGGATCATCGCGAGGGAGCATCGTCGCGCGTTATGAGTGATTCTCGCCTGCACTCATGCTCCCTCCTCCTTTTTGTTTAGGAACGTGTGCTGATAGATGTGTACAGTCTGGAACGAGAGAACAAAAGAGACCACATAGTCGGTTAGATTGAATCGGGGTATGTTTATTGTCTCACAGCCCGTAATATCCTCCTAAGCGGACCGTTTAACGCCGAGCATCTCGTTCTCATCAAGCTGAGAGCTCACATGTTTTCTGCATCCGCCTCCCAAATCCAGGCAGTCCTTTCATACCACCCGTTATGGGTGTTGCACGGACATGCTACGTATATATGTTTTCCCAGGAGGTCCATGTCTGTCAAACACAGCTGTAGACGCGGGCGGGTATCGCGCACGTTGCCGGCGGATTCCATCTGGGCTCGATCAAAACCCCCAGGCCCGGAACTAGCGACGCCATAAAAGTCAAGTCCTGTGGTTCATCGAGAGCTAGCTCCTGCAAAACATACACGTATCCGACGTACGTACGCCTGACACACACACGCGTGCAGGACCCTGACCTCCGGCTCGCTCGCGCAGGGAACCACGACCCGTTGCGAGTTATTCTGGCGTGCAGCGCACATCATTGGAGTGAAGGAACAGGAATCGTTCGCTACGAACGCGGGTCATGAGGCCCAAAAAGTCCCGTCGTGGGTCCATTCCCCTCTGTTTGAGCGGCCTCAGATGTGCGATGACGGCACCCAAACCCAGCACGCAAGATACATAAGCCCACGCGCGGAGCGTCGACGGAGGCGACGGAAGGGCCCCACGACCGGCAGCGTTGGAACACGAAGATGGTCGCAACATCGGGCAGCCTCACAGCGATAGTCGCCGGCCTTTCCGCCTGGGCATACGCCGCAACAGCGTCGCAGACCGGCGCGACGACCAACCATGGCGCCCCTCCACAAGCTGTGGTGAGTTCGAATGCTATCTTCCGAAGCTGTGCGGGACATCAAGCTTAGCATCTACTCTCCCGCCATCGCGCCCACCTCTGCTGATCACAACCACATCGTCTTCTGCTGCTGCGGCACCGTCGCCACCCGTCCTCGAAGTTCGTGAACCCGCGCGCATTCAACGTCCTGGGGAACAACGGCGCGTTCCGCGAGTCCGCGACGGACACGTTCTTCAACCCGACGAACACCAGCCCGCCGTTCTTCCAGGTCTTCCACGAGGACTTCCTGAAGATCCTGGGGCCGCGCGCGACCATCCGCGCCGTCGCGGCGAACCCGACGTTCGCGTTCGCGCACGAGGCGCCGGTGTGGGTCCCCGGCACGGACGAGGTCTTCTTCTCGAGCAACGACGGCGGCGCGCTCGGGATGAGCGACATCGACCACAACAACCAAGTGTCCAAAATCAGCCTGCGAGAAGTCGCCGCCGCGATCAGCGCGTCCGGGGCTGATGCCGCACCGGTGAATGTCACGGTAACAAAAGTGAGCATCTCGCGGTCGGTGAAGGCGGTACAGGCTGCAGCTGACGTGCGCCCGCGTCGACAGATCGACCTCCCGGACACGGTCCAGATGACGAACGGAGGCACGGGCCCGTTCTTCGGCCAGCTCGTGCTCGCCAACTCCGGACGGGGCCCCCTGCCCCCGTCCATAGCGCTCGTGAACCCACTGCCGCCGCACAACACGACTGTCCTGCTCGACAACTTCTTCGGGAGGCAGTTCAACTCGCTCAACGACGTGAAGATCCACCCTGGGACAAACAAGCTGTTCTTCACCGACGTGACGTAAGTGGCATGCGTACGAGCGTAGCGAGACAATTGTCTGAACGGGTCACCCAGATACGGCTTCCTCAACCACTTCCGCCCTCTGCCGTTGCTGCCGAACCAGGTGTACAGGTTCGACCCGACCACAGGCTCTGTGCGCGTCGTTGCGGACGGATTCGACCGGTGCAACGGGATCGCGTTCAGTCCCGACGGGAAGACCGCATTCATGTGCGCCACTCATATGCTCTGCGAGTGCCGCAGTAGAGGCTGACGGTTCCACCTCGCGCAGCACGGACACGGGTGCCAACGCGGGTTTCCTCGGGAACAATCAAACCGAGCCCGCGACTATGTGAGGATATTCCACGCAACTGAAGCCTGATCGCGCACTCATGCGGCACGGTTTAGATACGCGTTCGACGTCGACCCGAAGTCGGACGCGTTTAGCAATCGGCGTGTATTTGCCTACGTCGACACTGGGATCGCCGATGGCATCCAGCTCGACGCGGAGGGCAACGTGTATGCGGGATGCGGAGACGGCGTGCAGGTGGGTCACGCACCTTAACCTCCGAGGCTGACATTAACCACATGGCCGCAGGTCTGGAACTCGGAAGGGACCCTCCTGGGCAAGTTCTTCCTTGAGACCGTGTCGGCTAACCTTGTCTTCGCTGGGAACGGCCGACTGGTCATCATGGCGGAGACGGCCATATTCTTCGCGAACATTGCTGCGAAAGCGAACAAATTGTCGTTCCCCTGAGCGCGTTTGCGTTCGCCCTGTCTCTGGGGTGTGGTACAAAAAGGACACGGGTCCAAGAACGAGTGAAATACTATGTTGCCCGTACGAAGTTTGCTGCGGGTCCGCTTCTCTTCATGACTCCCAAGTTGGCTGATTGCGTGTTCACCAATCTGAGAGTGAGCGGGATCAACATGGTACGTACCTGGTCGCCTCGACCATCCTTTTGATTTCGATTTCGAAGCATTTCCGTTGATGTTAAGGCTGCTCTTCATAAACTTGTCGACTCGCCGTGGTGGTGCGAGAGCCTTGGCGATAGCGGGAGACGCGACAGGACCGGGTTTGGACAGGGTACGGATGGTGCGAGAGCTGTGACACCGAGACGAGGGAATAGTAAGCATACAGGAGAGTGAAGCGAATCAGATGCCAGACGATACTCACCCAACCACGAGGTCCTTGCCTGACAATGGTCTTCGCTTGCGTTTGCGCTGCTGAGAGGGAGAAGAAGGATTTGCAGCGTCGTCGAAGACGATCTTGGTGCTTTTGGAGGGGACTGTAGACAGCGCAGACTTGAAAAGATGATCAGGCAGGTAGTTCCGATTTGACCGCGCGGGGCCTTCCTCGTCGTCCGCTCCTTCCTCGTCTTCCGAACCCATCTCCGCATCCTCCAGCGGGAACGCGTCTTCTTCGCCTTCGTCTCCGTCTCCATCTCCGTCCTCGTCCTCTTCATCTCCCTCTTCGGCTTCCTCACCGCCGTTCTCGTTGTCCATGTCCTCGTCCTCCGCAGAAAAACCTTCGAACTCCCCGTTCTCTTCCTCTTCCTCGTCTTCCGCTTCCATCATCGCACGGGCCATCCTAGCCTGAAGCTCCCTTCTTTCAGAGCCCCCCGCTGTGTCGCCGTCGAGCTCGTCATCCTCAGTTTCCTCGTGTTCGACAGCCTCTCTCCTACGCTTGGTTCCGTCCTGACCATTCATGTCCTTCCTTTCTGTCTTCTTACTACCAGCGGAGGCTCGAGCTTTCAGCTTTGCGTCGATACTTCTGTTCTTCTCCTTCAGCCTTTGCCTCTCGGCGGTATTGAAGCTGTGAACGGCGTTCCGTTCACTTCTTGCCGCTATCTTGGACGACCCGAACGAGACTGCTTCGGGAACATCTTCGTCGCTAGAGTCCGATACAGCTTGCGTCCTCTGGCGTGCCATATGGGAGTAGATAGCCGCAGAATGGTGCCCCAACGAAAGAGTAAGCGGTTAGAACAAGAAGAGTGTGCAGGAGGACTCAGAGAAAATCAATCAAGAGGTATCAAGAGGTCCAATAATGTAATACTTGCAAACTCGCGGAAAATGCTTGAGGTAGCGCCTGTGTCTGATTGGCCCGTGTGTACTCTCAGCGTCTTGTGGCCAATGCCCACTTAACGTGAGCATGCATTATTTGCATATGTAGACTGCTGTCATTTTGCAAACGACTGTGGACAAAACACTAGCGGTTACGGCTTACTGAAAGCACGGCACGTTCACGATAAAAACTCAAGGTGCCCAAAAACACTGCCCCCGTGAGGCTCGAACTCACGACCTTCCGATGTACAATGCGTAACAGTCGGACGCTGTAACCAACTCAGCCAGGGGGCATGTATTAGCTATGCATAGCGGTGCACCAGATGAAGCTCGCGCTGTACCTTCCAACATCGAGTCGGAGTCCTCATGCTGGTATCTGCCACTGGCACGTATCTCCCCTCTTCTCTTCAGGCGACAAGTACGGTGGACTCTCTGCGTCTTGGGCTTCAGACAACGGTCTGCAGATGAGACCATTATTCTCTGCTCTGCTACTCTCTGTTCTCGTGTCTGGCGCGATATTTCCAGGTCTAGAAGAACGGTCGCTGCACTTGCCCATCCAACGCCAGACTCGGAGACGCATCAGCAAGAAGCGGGATGGCTTGATCGCAGACACCGGGCTCGGCGACGTCCTCGACGTGTGAGTTGCACCCTGCTGGTGCAGAATACTCACCTCACCCCGACCTCTCTCTCCAGGACCTACACCGTTCTCGTTCAGGTTGGAGATATCGTGACACCCCTGGTGATAGGTACGCTTTGCCGTTGCACGTTGCACCCTCATTCTACTATTGAACGCGACGCGCGAAGACTCCGGCTCGGCGGACCTGTGGTTAGTCTCGGATGCGTGTGGAGAGCAATGTCTGCGGAAAGGCGTCCCTCTCTATCGCCAAAACAGCCTCACAGCAACTGGGCAAGACGTCCAACTCCTCTACGGCGACTCGCAGACGGGCACGCACGCCTTCGGTCCCATTGGCACGGATACGGTCGGCATCGCTGGTCTGATTGTTCCCGACCAAGTCTTTGCCGCTGTACTCGACACCGACACCACCGTACTCGATACTGGCTGCGCTGGCATCCTAGGCTTGGGCTTCCCGCCCATAAGTGCTATCTGGCGACAACTGTTAGCAACCGATTTTTACGGACCTATGCCGGCGATCGTCAAACGTGCTCAAAAACCCGGTTCTCCCGGCAATCGTGCGCGCTCTATCCCGTCCTTCGAGTTTTTAAACAACACTGTATGGAAACGTCAGACTGCTCAGACGCTCTTCAGCTCCGCTACAGACTCGTTCCTGACGATTGGGCCTCTGTTCACTCGACTTGTCACTATGAAGCTTCTCAGCCGGCCTCTAGTTGTGACTAACCTGCAGCGCGACACGGTCTCTCTGAGCGACAATGCGGGAACACTCTCCCTCGGCGCACTCCCGTTTGGACTCAAGGATGAGCAACTCACATGGGTCCCTGTGCGCGGATATCCCCCGGCAGAGGGTGGTCTTCCTCCGCCGTTGGATGCGCCAGACGAGGTGCGTATGTTGCAGACTCCGTTCAGCGCTCATCATCATTTCTCGTGCAGCTGTATCCGCTTGTATGGGAGATTCCACTCGACGCTGTCTACTTTGACGGCATCCAGCTTCCTCGCTCAACATTGTCCCCCAGTTCTATCTCACTTTCCGCGTTGTTGGACACGGTGAGTATGTTTCCTCAATCACGACACGCTTCAATAACTCTCGCCAGGGCAACTCGCTCATCCGTGGGCCACTGGACATCGTCACCCGCATCCTTTCTCTGATCGGAGAGTCGTTCGACTGCTCGATCCCGCACAACTTGACGTTCCAGATCGGCGGCGTGCAGTTTCCAGTCGACCCCCGCGACTTCGCGCGTCCTTTGCCCGTGACTCCAGGCACGGTCTACCCGGACGAGGTAGCGCGATGCACACCCCTGCTGGCCGCGACGGACCCGCCAGGCGACGGCGGCTTTCTCTACAGCTGGAGTCTAGGCGACCCCTTCCTGAAGTCGTGAGTCCAGCTCCGTCCCTGCCTTCCGTCGCGCTCCTGATCTCTACTTCCTTCCAAGCGCGTTGGTCGCGTTTTACTACGGGAACATGACGCGCCCATCGCAGGATCCCCCTCGCGTCGGGCTCCTGTCCACCGTGCCGGAAGACGCGGGGTCCGCTCTCCAGGCCGCCGTCGCGTCCGCGGTCTCCAACGGCGGGATCTTCCCTTGTACGTCCCACGCCATATCGGCGCTGAATTGCTCCTCATCTACCGTACCCGCACAGCAACCTCCGAGCCCGCGCCGTACGCTACGCCGATCGCGATGCACACGGTGACGATGGAGGCCGTCGCCCCGCAGATGACGCAAGGTTCGCAGCGTGCATTCAGCGGCGCGGCTGGCCGCCCGTGCGCGCGTTCGGATGTGTGGACGTCTCCGCTGATCCTCGCTGTCCTTGTAGGTCTGTTGGGCTATCTCTACGTGTAGGGTCTTCTGGCATACGCTTCTGCGGCTCTCATAGGTGCAAGGTTCAGGACCCGAGACGTTCTTGTTTTGTAGCGCATGTCCACACTCGTACAATCTAATGTGTTGTCAATGATGGCCCCCGCCCCGTTGGCGCATGATATGTCTCCGGAGAGATCAGGTATAAATGATCGACTTGTCCATGGCAAGGATATCTGATATCTGAATATTTGGTTCCAGAGTTCAACCGCGCAAGGAGTACTTGAGTAGATGTTGGTCTGACCTCGACTTTCTTCCTGCGTACATTCAGGATCCCTCTCACTTCCCGAATCACGTCCTCCTCGAGCATCCGACGCAATGGGTCCGTCAACATCGACATTTGTCCATTCCCGGTTCTCAACAGGATTCATTCCTCTACATCATGCGATGTTTGCCTCCAGGCCTTATGATTGAGGTTTGCAAAGAACGACATCGATTAAAGTCACAGATGTGTCTTCTCGTATATTAGACGACGGCGTATATGCTCGCAGACGACGAGGGCAGGTGGGCTCTCTGGGCTCTCCTTTTTCAAGAACGTGGGCAATACTGAAGTGGCTGGTAAGTAATATAAGTACACATCATGGCTCTCTGTCTTCGCTTGCATGAGAGACGAGACCCATCCGCTCGCTTTGTACCCCAGCTGAGGTCTGCTGAGGTGCTCGTCGTGAATATCGCGGAGACGCCGTGGGAAACCGGCATCACCTAGGGCTTGCTGATGTAAGTACAGGTAGTATTCACCGCCACTTACCTCAACACTCCGTGGACACCGCCAAGTTGAAGTTGTAGGGTGTCGACAATAAGTACTTTACGACTTTCAAGACGAGTCGCTGCTCGCTGTGCGTGGCCTCGAGGCATTTGGTTCAGTAAGCCCCTTTCGCTTGAACGAGGAACATTCACACTCACGTGAGAGTTGTCCATACTAGGATCCATGGGGTGAACAGCCTTGTGGTCCCGAGACACGAACCGGCTGTCGTACGAGTCACCGCCCACACCCGCCGAGGTCGGAGTCCCCGGCATTGACTTGTCCATTTCAGCCAAGCCCCCAGACCGAGTGGCACCGCCTGGGGCGCTGTGTCGGGCCTTATAAGCCACTCGGGATCATCTGCCACCGCCCTCTGCATTCCATATACCGCACCTTGCGCCTTCCCTCCATACTCTCAGCAAGTGCTTCTAACACACCTCAGCAAATATGATGTGGGATCTCAGCGGAGGCGCAGCCAACGGGCAGGGTGAGCCTCCATACTACGCCCAGCAGTCCCGTGGAATATCCTCGGCGCCCTCGTCAGTATTCTCTGCATATCTCGCTAGGACGTCGCTTATGCATGGACGTATAACAGATTCCCTTCTCCGTGAGTGCTAGAGAGCACCCCCTCTTGTCTCTCCCTCATGTGTGCACCTTATTTCTTCAGTCCGGCCGGCTTCGCGCACTCTGCTGCGCCTACCCCTTTTATGCCAATTGGCGCTCCGACCGATCGCACAAGCTCCTACAATCCTTCGTAAGTCGGATTCGTCACTTTTCGCGCCATAGATATCTGACAATGTGGGCGTAAGACACTTCGAGGATACAGGGTATGTTCCGCTGGTGTCAAGCGGGGAGAGATAAGATGCTTACCGCTTCTCTGCAGGCCTTGGCTAGCACCTGGGCACGGTCCTGGGCCCAGCTCTGCACCTATCCCTCGCGGTCCCATAGCCGCCAGACCTGTCCACGTCGACGTGCACTACAGCAGTCACCGTAGACATTCGCATTCTCAGTCACACTCACATGTGCACGTCCACAGCCACAGCCACTCTCCGCGGCCGTCAGGACATCACAGCAGCACTCCGCACAAGGTATCGAGTACGTAACATTCATCACACGAGAACTCAAGGATGCAATCGCTGATTCGCCCTGTCTTCTCTGGTTCAGAGCCTCACCGTCCCATCCCCGATCCGATCCAGCACCTCCAACCCGTCGCGTCCTCGGGACGCTACCCCGACTTCCAGTACTCGAAGTGCACAGGCCGGAAGAAGGCGCTCTGCGTAAGCCGACCCTCTGAATCACCGTCATCCTCTCCTCACTAGAGGCCACCTCTCCGCGGCGATAGATCGGAATCAACTACAAGGGCCAGCCGAACGAGCTCTTCGGATGCGTGAACGACGCGCGCAACGTGCGCAACTTCCTGCGCAGACGCGGGTACAGCAAGGACGACATCGTGATGCTCACGGACGACGCGACCGATGCGCGCTCGCGCCCGACCCGCGCGAACATCCTCGACGCGATGCACTGGCTCGTCAAGGGCGCCCAGCCGAACGACTCGCTAGTGTTCCATTGTGCGTCCAGATACTGCCACCGGTTGAGGCTGAGCTGAACGTTCAAATCATAGACTCCGGACACGGTGGGCAAGTGAAGGATCGCAACGGAGACGAGATGGACGGGTACGACGAAGTGATCTTTCCGCTAGACTACAAGCGCGCGGGGTATATCGTGGACGACGTGAGTGACTGCGTCAATGCAGCCGTGCTTCGTACTCACCTCACTCATTGTGCAGTTGATGCATTCTATCATGGTCTGTCTCTCCCGCGTCATCCTCCATTGCCCTGCTCACGTTCACCCAGGTGAAGAGCCTTCCCCGAGGCTGCCGCCTTACTGTGAGTCTACGCGTGACACGTGTGATTCACTAGAACATCATCTAACAGCTCTATAGGCCCTCTTTGACGTATGTAGTCTATCTCATGGGATCGCTGCAGTGAGAGCACTGACGAGCCGTAATTTACCATCAGTCGTGCCATTCCGGCTCTGTGCTCGGTGCGTCCTTCGCCGCGACTCA